TCGGGGTCGCTATTTTTCAACGCATATTTGCCTTTTACAAGAACAAACGGAGGATAGCTATTGTACGATTTAGTGCTTTTATTTCCTTAGATGTACTCATGGCCTAGTTAGTAACTGACACCCGAGGCTGATAGCCGATTTGGTTGGAACGGTGGCTTTGAGAGATTTTATCCTGAACCAAAACTACATGGTAGTGGCACCATTTGGCACATAGGAGCACTATATTTGGATAATGTAAATGCCTACCATTGTTTGGTATTTGCTTGAATTTTGTAGTTCGCACAAATAAGGTCTACCATCAAGTTAGGATTACCACATATTAAATGCGTTTTTATTGAAACTTGACGCTATATTTAGTCTTTCTTTGGCAGGTTGAGGAGAGTAATGAACGAATCGTGCAAATGTCGCTGAGCTGATAGAGGAGCTTTGGTGAAGCCCACTTCCATCGTTTGACTTCCAGTTGTCGCTAGAGAAAAATGGAAAATCCAAAGGGGAGGTAGACTTTAGACATGGCTCTGAATTTGAACCGCACTGTTTAAGTGGAAAATGCATTTTGCGGATTTTGTAGGAGAAGCGGAGCCACGGGGTCTTACTCATCGGCGACATTGTGGGACTTTCTCATACATCTGTACGGCCGGGGCTTAACGATGTCCTTCTTAGAGTGTCGTCCACCTGGAATTCCCACATCATTTGCGCAAAAACTAAGCATCTTCCCTTCCTGCATGCTTTATTCCGGAAATATTCACCAAAATTTATTGTACTCCTGTGCTCAAATTGCCAACTGCGTTTACTCCAAGTCGTCAGATAATGACTCGGCAATATCGTTTCCAGCGGTGCATCGAGCGGTGATTTTATTTGCACTTCGGGAGTGCCATGCGCTTACCCATTATCGTAAAACAATGACCTTCCTTTACACTATCCCTGAAGGTGCCATGTTAGGGAAAAAAGTTCTAGGTAGCATAGTAACGAGTACAATAACTCGGAGGATTTGCATCCAAACCCTTCTGGCTGTGGGCTTCTGAAATTCCATTGTTGAATCTTGAAGTTTCTCGAACGTGGTGGGATACGAAATGGAGAGCTGTGGATACTGAAAAAGACTTGAGATTAGGGTAGCAGATACTGACAATCTGACATTTCTGTAAGTTGGTTCTGAAGAACTTCCCCTCTAGATGTCTACTCCACTAGTCTACCCAGAGTTTTCCCACTCGGCGCTCCATTTCTACAGCGAGTTGGTGTGTACTGTGGCTATTTGAGGGACTGTGGAGATATCGCAAGAGCCTACAAACTTATGGGACTAATGTCAAGTCGTCGGACAAACTCTATGGTCGGGGAAGCGAATGAGATACAATAAAGAGTAAGTGCACAACGTTGCAAGTAAACTCACTTAGTAAAAATTTTTTCAAAAAGTGGTTGCACAGGGATCTTTGCACGGCTGTTTGCTGGTTGTAACAGGCACTATTCGCGTCTCGACACCCATTTAACATACGCACTAGGCGGCTGCTCAATAGCCGATACTCAAGCGTCAAAAAGATGACGGATGGATTTAACCATACAAATTTGAATTATGTCACCAGTGAAAGAAGAGTTTGCAGCTGTTTCTAGTCGTCTTGTATGCTGGACCACACAAGAGTGTGATTCGATGCCACAAATATTACTAGAAACCTTGAGAAACTCGAAATGTGATGGGAAAGTAGCCAGTCTCAAGCAACTCCATGGAGTTATGGGTGAACAACGGTATTCAGGAAGAGTTTCATTGGGTTATAGCCGTCCTTGAGTTTCGACCAGGTCAACAGTCTGGTTAATATTTCTAATGGGACAACCTCTGCTCCTTGATGTCAGTCTTGTGGCAACTGATCAATTGTCTCCATAACACATGAAGTGGGCCTTCATGGAACTGAACGTGATCAGAGTTCATGGCGTATTCCAAGAGGTTAATGAGCGCTGCCCACCTTACACCCACACGGAACTAGTAGTTTATGCAGAAGTAACGGGGAGGTGACAATTATGTTGTATCCGGTTGCACGCTTCTCAATAGGCGTCATTGAATCCAGAGATAAAAGCCGGAGGGAGTGTGTAAAGCAGTGAAGGACGTTCTCGTAAAAGCGATAAGTTTGACTTTCCATCCGAGCAGGAGCTTTACACAGAAGTTTTAGAGTAAAAAGTAAAGTCATGTCGGGCATGCTACGGATCAGGATACTTTCAGTTATCTCCAGGCAAAGAGGGATTTTGGCTTCGTTACACTAATAGTCGAGGAATCAAATTTCATATCACATCACACCCAAAACAACTGGGCCTTTCATTCCATTGTAGTTCTTTCATGAGTGTGGAACTTCATTGAGAACGAAAACGTGAGCTCATGCATGCATACTGTCTTTTCGTCCTCATACGCCCTTTGGTATCGCACCTTAGCAGACGCAAACTAAAATTTATTGGTAGTCCAAAGAGGAGAGGAGCTAATCAAAGTGACTGAAAGCTCCAGGTCCATGCGAGGCATAATTGAGCTAGGAATGGTATGAGTAGAATGATAATCATATGCAATACGAGTTGATCACGATAAAAAGACTAAAGTACGACATGGTTTGAATACCGTGTCGTATTCTCGTCTTTTGGCCGTCATCTACTGATGTTTCAGATGATTATCGTAAGAAATTTCGTGAACTACGGAAAATGGTATTCGAATGCACGGCGCATTGAAAGCTTGGTAATTCCCCTCGGTGAATTTATTTGTTCTATTTTATTCAACTCCTCTCTTCCCTTTTTGTCATAAGAAGTGAAGAGTATCAAGTGTACCATTATCACACTATGTATGGTCTGGGGATTGAATCCCGCCCAGGCCAACCGAGGCTTCCATCCCTAGGGGTCGGCTAATTGTTACTGGAATGGACTAGGGATTAAGCGCGCAGACTTGTACATCAGCTGGCTACTTGAATACACTATCAAAGACCCATAAGTATCAAAACGCTGTTACGATTCTACGTGGAAGTTGAGTGAGGGTCGCTTCCCAAAGATGGAGTTGTCTCGGACCTGAAAACACCCTCTTTTATTCTTTTACAATTAAAACTCACTTTGTTAAGTTTACTCCATTAAATTCGTGAGTATTTTCAAAATTAAATTCAAAATTATTTACATTTTTTACTAGAAAACAAGTTTTTGGTAGTTCTTGCACTTACAATTTCCCTTAATCCTTTAATATTTTGCAGTTTTTCTATGGACAAATGGCCTCTTAACTTGACCTTCACCTGGTTTTAAAAAGTTGCCTCATAATGTTGAATGTTAGCAGTGGGAGTTTTATCAATTCTTCCTGAGTGCATTGATCATTAAACAGCGTGATAAGGAGCAAACGCTAAACACAGTTCCTCCGCCTGCGTCATTTGTTCTCCAGAAGTGCTCAACCTCATCAAACCAACGTTATGAATGTATTTACTTTTGTAGACTAACTCATATCGTCGCAAAGAACATAAAGAATGAGTGCAAGATCCCATGAAGTAACAGAACAGCTTTCAGCTACCGTTCAGCTAGTAATTTTTGATTTTACGATATCTGTTACAATTTCCCTTAATCCTTTAATATTTTGCAGTTTTTCTATGGACAAATGGCCTCTTAACTTGACCTTCACCTGGTTTTAAAAAGTTGCCTCATAATGTTGAATGTTAGCAGTGGGAGTTTTATCAATTCTTCCTGAGTGCATTGATCATTAAACAGCATGATAAGGAGCAAACGCTAGACATAGTCCCCCCGACTGCGTCACTTGTTCTCCAGAAGTGCTCAACCTTATCAAACCAACATTAGAATGTATTTTCTCCTATAGACTAACTCATATCGTGGCAAAGAACATAAAAGAATGAGTGCAAGATCCCATGAAGTAACAGCACGGCTTTCAGCTACCGTTTAGCTAGTAGTTTTTGATTTTTCGATATCCGTATGGCTTTTGATTTTTGCAGTTCTTCTGAAAAACCACTTCGGTTTCCACTAAAATAAATTCTCTGTTTTTCCCGTTGTCTTTAGCACTTATTCAAATCAAAACAATATATTTGTTGCATTATGTCCAGAAAGGGGAGGAAGAAGATATCAAAAAATAAAGAAAAATTCAATTCCTCGTTCTGCACGAAGTTGAACCTTGTAGAAAACGGAAAAAGGAGTTTGTGGAGTAAATTTTTGTTTTATTTTTCGGAACGCATATCTATTTCCAGTATGTATTCTGCCTACTGCCTATCATATCAAGTATTTCTATCGGACCATTTAGACTCTTTATAGAACTACCAGTCATTTTTCAGTTATAACCCACTGATTGTTTACATAAATATAGTTTTTACACTTACATATTTAGGATGTCGACATGATTTTGTTCAAAAATAAACGTAATTGTGCCACTCGTTTTCGTCAGCTTTCAAAAACCGAGCGGTGTTTGCTATTTTGAACGAATCAGACTATGACGGATTATTGCAAGTAGTTGCCACAGTGATAGTTTATACTCCAAGTGACTAGGTTTGCCTGCTTATTCCATGTGTCCCTTTTGATTTTTATTGAGCTCGATTATTTTCAAGCAACTCCTAAAGGGGTTAACTGAAAAATCGGTTGAAGCATTTTATCGCGCGTTGACCACTAGAGCATAAATCTCGTGTGTTACCTATCTCTTCCTCTAGTGGCCTCTTGACTAGTGGTTACCCTCACACTATCATCTCCAACACGGGCTCAAATCGCTGACGCCGGCGTCGATGTGGGTAGTATGAGTGCGACTGACGCCGTCTACACCTCTATCCATCATTTTGAGTTGTTCCAATAATGTTTATGCCACCATCTCACCTGTCATTCTGATTGCTACTCTGTTGCAGATCATGAGCTCATGCATAGTGTTGAAGTTGTTGAATGATTTCTTAAATAACAGACATTCAGACGGTTTCACATGGAATATATCGTATGATAGTGTTCTCGCCGCGAACTCGAATCATCGAGAGCCCGAGTAAAATCAAGAAATCAGCGCAGAAAGTTGAAGAAGATCCATGAGTGAAAACGGTGATGGCGACTCAGTGGGAGCAGGGGAACGTATATATCTACACATCTACGACTACGAAACCAAGGTACACGATCTTAAGTTGTTCACAATAGATGCCAGCTCCCAGATTGATTAAATGAATGGAATTAGTAATATTGGCACATAGATGAAATGTATAGACGCAAGATCTAGGATGTCGTTGGATTTTGTAGGAGTTTGGTTCGGGTTAAATATTAATAATTTCTAGTTTCTAGGAATTCTCTGGCCTCACCACCTATCATGGACTCGTTCGTATATATAACTCAAACACGTGGCCATCTCGGATATTCTGGTGTGTCGTGGTCCTATCTTGTCTCTCCTTATTCATGATTCATGTGAGTGCACTCGGTTAAAGCCTAATTCACAATCCGGCCAATTGACAGATAGAAATGTACCCATCTGATTCATACACCCTTAGCTCCCACTAACAGACGATCACAAGTAACAGCGCTGAAGGGATATCGATGGGAGGAAAAGTACCAGGGTTGAGTACATCACTTGTACCTCTCTCTCGGTTCCATTTTCTGCTACAGCCATTGGTACCGTCGATGCTTACCACAGGATACTTCGTGCTTGACAACGCATCATTTTCTGTAGCGAGAGAATTTAGGTGAACTGACCACATTTACTGCTGCGGATACTACAGTGAGATCCCCTGTGAGTCACCCTATCGCAATGTGACGAACTGCGAAACCATACTAGCCGAGTTCCGTACATCCACTCCCCTTTTGCATAACAGTAGCAAAGTAAGACGTCCACCTTTGAGTTGCGTCAGTGTGATTCAGAAATCATCCCCATTTTGGTGGTTTCCATTTTGATGATCAAAGTTTGCACTTCTAGCTTTGACCTTTCTTCTTCTGCTGGAATGGACCATTCTCTAGATTTCAGAGTGGCTACCTCTTGCTTGGATACCATTCAAAGCCCACTTTGTTCCAAATTAACACGATCGTGGCATCGGACGGCATTTTGTTCCCGGATATCACTATTTGTAATCATAATATGGTGAAAATGGCTCAGTTATCAGGTACGGTGCTACATGGCTTTGGTTTGAGGATTGATAGCCCACGGTACTTTCCTCCAATCGCCTGCATGCCTACTTGTTCAACAAGCGTTATCATTAGGTTCATTTCACAAAATTTTTCATTTCATAGAAACACACGTTATCGTCTACAACATTACGGTATTATGNCATCGGACGGCATTTTGTTCCCGGATATCACTATTTGTAATCATAATATGGTGAAAATGGCTCAGTTATCAGGTACGGTGCTACATGGCTTGGGTTTGAGGGTTAACAGTGGGCGGTACTCCCCTCCAATCGCCTGCATGCCTACTTGTTCAACAAGCGTTATCATTAGGTTCATTTCACAAAATTTTTCATTTCATAGAAACACACGTTATCGTCTACAACATTACGGTATTATGCAGTACAACAGGGTGAAGTAAATAAAACAAATAATCTATACATGAATTACTACAAATGCGACGCACTAGCTATAAGTTCACTGAAATATCAATGAATGCTGTCTTGGTGAACGAGCGTAGACGGCAGCACCGGGCTGCATTTATAGTCCGCGATCTGCAAGAAGCGTCGAGCAATCGGCGTTAGGTAGCCGCAACACCGTGCTGATCGATAATGCCATTTGCTTTTTCATGTCTGAATATGCTGGAACATTTAGGATTTTGATTTGCTGCTGTACTATTAGATTGGGAACAATCTGTACTGTTAGAGTGAGAACAATTTCCAACAATTGTTGTTACCATTGCAGAGTTTAGGATACGATATGAGCGAAAACATCCTCTCCTATATAATGACATCTTTCAATGATCATGTTGAAAGCGATGGGCTTGACGAGAATCAACTTGCTTTTGAGGAATACCAAGTCAACTACAAATTGCGAACTGGACAAAATTTTTCCACTGTGAACTTCTTCTACGACGTCAGGTATGAACTAGATAGAGGGAAACTTCAAGAGAAGGAAGGTTTCTGATGCTCCAAGAAGAGATTTTGGAAAAATCTCAAACAATTTCGAATCGAACTTTTAAGACCAGCGTGTGAGGACATGGTGTTGAGCTGCTCGTTTGCTGGCGAAATCATCGAAGACTGCTGTGCCGGTAGCAAAGTCGTGATCACAGATATCGGCTTTTGTATTAGGTAGGTTTTTGATAAGTGATTCGGGTTCTAAACGATTCCACTGAGCGGTCTGGAGTTTTAAGTGCTTCAGTGAGTAATTTACTTGCAGGTTCCCCAATTCAGTTTTGAAGAAGAAGCAGTATCTAAGTGGTAGGAACTACGGTTGGCAGATTATACTGGACAGCAGCAGTGTTTTCCAGCCAGGTTATACCTTACACCTTTCCCATTTTAATGATGAACGTTCCTGGAAGTCAAAGTTTTAGAGTCTGCTGACACGGGATTCCATGTAGTGGTTCACGAACCTGATAAAGAAGTCTCTTTAACATCTTACGGTGTGTCGGTGCCTCCCGGAGCTGCTCTCCATGCTGGCATTTCTTACAAAAATGTATGCTTAACCCACATTTCAATTTCTTCTCTTTCTTTCTTTCTTTCTTTCTTTCAATTTTCAGTCACTTCTCTCCTATTGTTTAGGTATCCCATTTGCCCAGATCAGATTGGGGATTGTGTCAACGTGGTTGGAATCCAGAGATTCACGGTTCGCTGCTTACTGAACTCCAGGTTCTTTTGTCCTTTGTTCTATCTGTCTTGTCTGTGGTCGTGTAAAAGGAAGATGGTCCTAATTGATGACAACTGCGCGGTGGAGAAGTTGTCCTCAGACATAAGTGCCAAAAAATTCCTCAATGAGACTACCCGCTGGGAAGAGGGACGAGCAGTTCTGATCTTGCTTCCCATTGATGCTTCCCATCTCACCCCTTTTACTTGTGACGTCTCCTTCTGCTCAACACTTTTATGACCGGGCCAATGAGAAACTTCTATTTCAGTACACTGCTTCTCATTGCGAATGGAATTGTCTAGCACTGGAATGGCAATTTACATGTGGATGCCGGCCAATGAAATTACTTTCTTTGAATATTTCTTCGGATATCCCTATATGTACTCCTTACGATATCCACAGATGTGCTGACATCGTTTATGGTATGTCGTTCTTTTTTGGCATTTTGGTATGGTTCTTTTGAACGATTGACTGGTATTGGGGTTCGAAGAATTTTATCAAAATCGGTTCTGTGTTCATCCGAGATCAGGCTGAGTTACTATCTAGTAAAAATAATTTAGAAAATGCAAGCAAATGCAATTGCGATATCGAATGTGATCTGATTGATTATGAGATGCAAATCAGCTATTCCGACATAGGCAGCGGCTTGATCCAACGGAAATTCCCTTTCACAGAGCAGTACATCCAGTGAGTTCCATGACTGATTGAATTCCATAATTGTTTCCATTTCTTGTACCCGAATTCACCCTCGGTTCAACTTTTTGGGGCATTTGTGGATAGTCGGATTACAGTAATCGGGAAAATTCAAGGTCTAACTGCATTACGGTCGCTTTTATTTTATCCTGTCAGTCACGGACATGAGTTTTCTTATATAGCTAATCCGATAGCCAGTAATTTCCCATTTCTGTTGCAATGCTGTAAATATTACAGAGAAAATATTTCCGTCATAAATCTCTTCATGCAAAGCATAGCGTACGAGCGACATGAGCAGCAAAAGCAACTGCAGACTGCTGACTTACTATCGAACATCGCTGGAAGTATGGGATTGTTTCTTGGTATGAGTACAGTAAGTACCGTATCCTTTAAGACGATCATTTCTATTATAGTAGTTGTCTCATAGAAAATTGTTATAGGTAACATTGCTCGAGATCTTCATCTACCTATTCAAATCCGTTTGGGGTACGGTGAATACCGAACGTCAGAAGCAGTTCATGGAAGCGATGATGGAAGAGGAAAACGAACGTCGACAGAGTCTCGTCATTGTCGAAGAATCACCTCGAAAGGTTGTTCGAGGCTCTTAGTCTCGGCCAACATAATATTTATGTGCCACGGCTAGACTCGGCCAATTTGTGAAGCCTGACTGGTAGAAGTTGCTTTTTTAGAACGGCTATAGTTTGTCAACCTCGGCCTTAGACGGTTCTATGGTGTTCAAGGTTCCTGGATCCGTTCAGATTCACTCAATTAATTTTTGTGATTTATTACCCAATATGGACTGGGATGAACTTTTTATTAGTTAAAAATCAGCATTGGGCTCTACCTCTATTAGCTAGAGTAGTCCTGCTCAATAATTTACGCCTGAGTATAAACAGATAGGTGTGCAAGTCTTCCGATTCAGTTTGGGAGGATGGGAGGATCACTTGGTTTCTTTTCCTTTTTTTTTTTTTGAAGTCCATTCCTGTTGCATACTTGAAACACATTTTTCCAATCTAGTAGTTGTATCGAAGCTTTTCTTCTTCAGCTTTCGGTGGTCGAGGAGTTAGCTGACGTCAACGCATCGCATACTCGTAAACGAAATTCTAGGCGAGTTTCCATTGCACCGCTACATATTCACATGGACAAGAGGGGAAGCACCACAGTGAGTTCCAGCTAAATGATTGAAATCTCAGTTATTCTCTTACTAAAATAGGAGTCCATGTTCCGAAGTTCAGCCCAGAGTTCAGAATGTTGCCAAGGTTGAACCCTTGATTCCTCAGATGGCAGGCCCTACTTTGACGAGCCACTGAGCTTTGTTAGTGACCACCTTTTTCACT